TCTTCATTACTTTTTAGCCTCTGAGCATACTGTAGTGCCAGACAGAAAATGTGGTAAAGTGTGAAGAGCAAATGAGATGATGTTTGAGAAAACAGCTTATAAAATATAATTTTCTATAAAGAATACAAAGTGTGATTATTTTTACTGGTGATTATTGTGCCTTTTTTGGAAGACTTACTCTTCCTACTTTGTTTTTCTCCTAGGACCACTGAGGTTCCTTTCTCAGACAGAATCTGTCACAGCCTTCATGGGAGACACAGTGCTACTCAAGTGTGAAGTCACTGGGGAGCCCATGCCAACAATCCACTGGCAGAAGAACCAACAGGACCTGACTCCAATCCCAGGCGACTCCCGAGTGGTGGTCTTACCCTCTGGAGCACTGCAGATCAGCCGAATCCAACCAGGGGACATTGGAATTTACCGATGCTCAGCTCGAAATCCAGCCAGCTCAAGAACAGGAAATGAAGCAGAAGTCAGAATTTTATCAGGTATTGCAATGCTCTTTGTTGCCTTCAGAACGATATTCTCTGCAGTAAGTTGAAAAACAATTTTTTCTTTAACAGATATTTGTAATGGTCATAAGTTCTGTATTGTTCATTGTGTTTTGCTTTTCATCATTACTTGCTTGCTTGCCAAAGCATTCAATGAGGTTGTGCCAAAAGCTGTTCTTTTTTTTTTTTCTTTCATGTCTTGAAGTTTCTGGAAAAACAGGTATCTCTCGTTTATTCATTCAATTGTTCTATGACTATTTAGTGAGTGTTTCTTTGTGCAAGCCCCGCTGGTAAGCATTTCTCACTTATTTTTTCATTTTCCTCTGATGACAGTCTAAGAGGTAGTTTTTATTCATTTCAAAGGAGGAAGGTGAAAACTTGCAACGTTAAGAACATTCCCTAAGTTAATATTGAACTGTACATATAGGATATATATTATACATAGTTCAATATTAATCATATATAGTTCAATATTAAAATTAGGCTGATCTTACCTACTTTGTTAATTTTACAGGGCTGTTTTGTTTACCAACAAATAAGCTCTAGAGATGAATGGCAACATCTTCATTACTTTTTAGCCTCTGAGCATACTGTAGTGCCAGACAGAAAATGTGGTAAAGTGTGAAGAATTCTCTTTTGTATATTCTGTACTTCATTAGTCACAGGGATACTGACTTAGATGTATCAATAACCATTGGCAACACTTACATTTCATCTACCAGGCAATGACAGAAGCAAAGCTAGCATTTATTCCCTAGAATAAATTTCCTAGCTAGATACACATGCATGCATCTATTTACATATCTATTACATACACAAAATTTTGAATATATGATATATATCATATGTGATATATGTGATATATGTCATACCTAGAGTATATATCATATATACATGATACATAATATATAATTATCACATATTATATGTGACATATATCATATATATGATATATATAGATATCATATATGTATGTATGTATATATGTATTTTAGACCAGGGTCTTACTCTGTTGCCCAGGCTGAATGCAGCGGTGTGATCACAGCTCACTGCTGCCTCAACTTCCCAGGTTCAGGTGCTCCTCCCACCTCAGTCTCAGTAGCTGGGATCACAGACTTGTGGCACCACACCCGGCTAATTTTTTGTATTTTTTT